CCATAGCCCTGAGGTTTGAGAACAGCTGAGCTGCAAACACTTTCTGAAGAGCCTAAAAGCTCCTGCCGGGGTTCTAACTGGCAAAGCTTTCAAAGATCTGTGCTTTTTTTCCCCAGTAAAAGTACAGCACATAATTACAGTGACATACCAAATTCAGTTCTGTGGGAGGCGGGATGGAGGACAAGTCAGTGGGATGCTATGCAGACAACCTATCCCCCCCACTACCACCAAAAAAAAGGAATATTGATCATAAAAGGTATGAGAACTAGTATATCGCTCTTACCAGGTAGTCTGCCTCTAGACAGAGGAAAGGTCCCTGGCTTCATTCTTTCTTTTTTTCCCTTCTTATTTGTTTCTTTTCAACTTACTACATGTGAATATAAGCAAGCCCAATGATGTCACTGCTAAAAGGAACCAAAAAGTTTAGAGAAAGCTTAGCAACCCAGTCACTATCTCAGATAAATTTCTTTCAAAAAGTCAAAGCTAGATTTTTCCCCAAGATTTGCCAATTTTATTGTTTTTTGTTTAATGAAGAGAATTTTAATGAATCTTGCAGGAATAATCTCACTTCTGGCATATGCCTATTACTAACTGATGAGATTTGTTTTTATCATTCAAGAAGTTATATAATAATGTAGACTCTGCAGGGCACTGGCAGAGGTTATAAGAATGAAATTGGAAAGTATTTATTGTTAGAAAAGGAACATAAAGAAAAGTTTTCAATAAGGATAAGCTAAATTCTTCAATGTTACCAAGTGCCACATGGATACAGAATTAAACAGGACTAAAATGAACCCACTTGATTTTGCATTCAAGTTATACATTCAGCAAATATATATTAAGCATATACCATGTGAATAAAATCAGCATGATGCATGTACTTGAAGTTGCAATCTAGTGGGGGTTTATAGACATTCAATAAACAACCTCAGAAATAAATATTTAGCTAAGAACCATGATAATCTCTAGAAAGGAAAAGAAAAAAAAAGGTGCTCTGTGGGATTTTAATAGAGAGCCTTAATTTTGATTGATAGGCAAGTGAAGGTATCACTGGGAAAATGAACTTTAAGCTAAAAGTGGAAGAATTAACAAGAAAGGCAGGCAGCAAGTGAGAGTAAGAAGCAGCAGCATGTGTAATGGGCCAGAGGCAGAAAAGAGCCTGGTAAATTCAAAGCACAGAAAAATAAAATATACTGTGGTGGAAGTATAATAACCAAGAAGCCAAGCAACAGGAGAGAGAAGTGGGAGAGGTGGTAAATTCTGGTGAGGAGTTTATATTGCAGCCTTAGTGCCATACAAGAGCACTGATGCTTTAAGCAGATAAATGTATGATGCAACACAAATGAACTCAGAAATGCCACATTTGAGGGCTGTGCTGAGAATGACTTGGAGAAAGGCTTTTGCAGGAGTGCGGAAAACAAGCTATAAGTAGATCATAATTGTTAAAGAGAATGATGATGTTGGCTTGGGCTAAGGTGGTAATGGCACAGATGAAGAGGAGATCTGATGTATATTTTAGATGCAATTAGGAAGTAATAATGACCTCTCTTAGATAATTTTCAATGCACTCCTTAAGGGAGAATTCTAATTATTGTTTGTTGAATAGTGTATGAGAAGTAAGGAACTAAAAAGCAAAAGAGGACTAATCTTTGAAAAAATAGGTGCTAGGAAATAGAGAGCAGCAGCTATCAGGGACCTCAGAGTCAATAAATGATTTTTATTTATCCACCTATGCAGCTATCAATTTATTCAGTTTTAGGCAGTGAGTGACTTAAGTTTTTTTTTTTTTTTCCTGAAGAGAAAGTCAAAGTGCAGAATGACAAACTGAAGAGGCATAAAATAATAGAAGTATAAAATAAGCAAGAGATAATAATGCCCAGGGGTACCTGGGTGGCTCAGTTGGTTTAGTATCGGACTCTTGGTGTCTGTTCAGGTCACTGCTGCACATCTGGCTCCCTGCTCAGTGGGGAATCTGCTTGAGATTCTCTCTCTCCTTCTGCCCCTCCCCACATGCAAGTGCATATTCTTTCATAAATAAATAAAATCTTTAGAAAAAGAGACATAATAATGCCCCAGAGATAAGTAAATTAGCATGTAGTAGAGCATCTCACACACACGTACGCACGCACACACACACACACACACACACACACACACACACACACAACCGAACAGTATAGCAGTTAAAAGCACTCTATCTATTAGAAGAAAACAAAAACACTAATTTGAAAAGACATATATACACCCTATGTTCATCACAGCATTATTTATAATATCCAGGATATGGAAGCAACCTAAATGTCTATCAATAAATGAATGAAGGTGTGATATGGTGTGTGTGTGTGTGTGTGTGTGTGTGTGTGTGTGTGTGTGTGTAATATAATATTACTCTGAAATCCTATCATTTGCAACATGGATGGACCTTGAGTGTATTATACTAAGTGAAATAAGTAAAAAAAAAAAGGCAAATCCCGTATGATTTCACTTACACATGGATTCCAAAAAAAAAAAAAAAATGAACTAACAAAACAATGACAGACTCATACATATAGAGAATAAACTAGTAGTTGCCAAATGGGAGGGGAGTGGAGGGATGAATGAAACAGCTGAAGGAGATTAAGAAGTACAATCTTCCAGTTATAAAATACATAAGACACAGGGATGTAATGTACAGCATAGGGAATATAGTCAATAATATTGTAATAACTTTGTATAGTGACAGATGGTAATTAGACTTACTGTGGTGTCCGTTTTGTAAAGTATATAAATATCAAATCACTATCTTGTACACCTAAAACTAATATAATACTGTATGTCAATTATTCTTCAATAAAAATAAAATATTAAAATAAAAAAAGGAATAAAAACACCATCTATGAAGTCAGACTGCCTGGGTTTGAATTCTGCATCTACTACTTACTTTGAACCTTGGGACAAGGTCCCTAGCCTTCCTTAGACGGGGTTTCCTCATTCATAATATGGAGCTGGTAAAAGTGCTAACTCTTTAATACATTTTGTTTCTATAAGTAATAATACCAACAGCAATTATATTGGTCATAATAATAAGGTATCCCTTTTCCTGAGATTTGACAGAGAATAGGTTAATAAAAGGTATGTCTGGAGATAGCCTTGTAGGTAGAAGAGATACTGGAGGTTCTAAAAGCCTACATGCTTTCCTTTTTCTCTGGTAAGAGATTACACTGTTGGTATTAAGTGAAAAGAATGGGAAGGGGAGGGAGAGAAGACCTGAGGAGAGCAGGTAAGAGACAGTATAGCTGCTATGGAAAATGAAAGGCTGCTGAAGAGGAACAAGTAAAATAACTGCTGAAATGGCAATGAGAGTCCCGCTGAGGTAAAAGCTAAAACGTCATAAAGATACTAATTCACTCCGTTCATCAAAGAGAACAGACAGATAAAAAGCCACAGAGTTAGAGGCACAATGAGCATACAAGGAGCTCAGGTTTTATTCTATAAATTCCAGGAGACACTGAAGGTTTTCAATATAGAAATCACATGTTGGATATAGATTTTAAGTAGACTACACACTAATTGTATTGAGGGGGCAATTAGCAGAAGCGAGACAGCCAGTTTGGAGCCTCTCTCATCACTGCAGATGATCCTACACATTTCTGAAATGTTCTGAAATATAGGCTGTCGATAGATTTTGAGGATTAAAAAGTCTTTGAGTGTATTCACACTGAAATTAATTTAATTTTAGCACTGACCTGCAGAAATATGTTTTAATATAATTTTTACTTTACAGATCTAAAATATGCTATGTTTAATCTCAGGCTCACACTTGGGTTTAATAATTGCCTTATAATTCAATTCAATAGACATTTATTATCTTTTATATATAAGATATTATTCTAAGCACCCTAATACATTTTCTCTATAAATAATAATGGCAACACAAATAGCAGGTACTTAAAAGACTAGGGCCTATTATTATTTCCAAAATATATTCCTGGATATGAGATTATCTAAACTTTATTTGGCGAATCCTGATGGATACTACCTTGGGTGATTTACATAGCACAAACTACTCTGTAATGTCCTTGAAAAGGTAATATATTTAAACGAAACACAGTATTTGACTACTAGTTCCGAGGTTAATTTTGAGTCTTCGTATTCAGATGTGAAATTGTTAGGGAGCCAGGGTAAAGTTAGCAGCTATAGTACAGCTGCTCATCCATACACTGAACAAACTTGTATTGAATACCTAAGCTAAAAATGGGTTTTTTTTTCCTCCAAGAAATTAAATAAATCACCATCCCTTCTTTCCCATTTTTTTGCCCATTATTTCAATAGCAGTTTTGAGGAATGCTTAAAACATTTAACTATATTCTTTAATACATAATTTATATCTAGTCATCTTTTGTACCCCTTAAAATGAAGAGGGGATGAGGAAACATAACTCATTCCAGTAACGATTTAATCATACTAAAGTATGATATGCATTTATGAGATTTTTCTTCCCAACTGAAACTGTATTTAAAGTTTTCAATTAATTAATGACACTCTATAGGAAATCTAAAAATTCTTGTGCTTTCTCTAACACAATATGTATATAACAAAAAAGTTTTTTAAAATATTGCTATTTATCTAGTTCCTACTCTTTTATTTAGCCTAGATTGGGGAGGGGGCAAATTCTAACATCAAGATCGAAACAAAAGAAAAAATAGCCAATACAATACATACTACTTTTCATATATTAATAGAATTAAATATCTGCACTAGTATGGAGGAGATGCCATGAGATACCTTGAGGTATTCTGTAGAATATAAATCCAAATTTCTTAATTTTTCAAAACCATTACAAATAATAATAAGGTTTTTTTCCTGACAATGTTATAATTAATTATGTAGATATGCAGTTTGAAAAAAAAATATGTAGATACACAGTTTGAAAAAAATCAACAATTGAAATGTCCTTTTCACTGTTTCTGACAAGTATTACATCACAGCTGAGTTTGTGGGCCCTTATGCTAGATACATACCACAACTCCAAATTGCTCAGGCTCACAGAGGTCATCATATTCATTCCTCAGTTGTGCTAATTCACCGAGTACTTTCTGCTCAGGAAGATGTTTTACAAGGTTCTAAAAAGAAATAAAAGTATAAAAGTTTAATATTTTATTATTACGACTATTAACCCTGCATTAACAACTCTAAAAGTGATTAAGATAGTAAATTTTTCTTTTTTTTTTTAAAGATTTTATTTATTTGAGAGAGAGAATGAAAGACAGAGAGCACGAGAGGGAAGAGGGTCAGAGGGAGAAGCAGACCCCCCGCTGAGCAGGGAGCCTGATGTGGGACTCGATCCGGAGACTCCAGGATCATGACCCGAGGCGAAGGCAGTTGCCTAACGAACTGAGCCACCCAGGCGCCCAAGATAGTAAATTTCTGATTGCGATTCTGTTATACCACTAGTGTATACTCCCCTTCTCTCCCAAATAAATAACCAAAAAATGAACTACAATTTAATGTGAATAAATGTACAAATGCATTTCCTTTCCATGCACTGCAGTACATAAATGATAAATAAAAAGATCATATGGAAGTAAATGACATTAAAAAATTACTAACTTTCCGGGCCTTAAACTTATATAGCATAATTTTTAAGCTTTATTTTCTATCAGGAAGTCAATTCATTTGGAAAACAGAATTAAATTATATGTAATAATAATAAAAGTCAACTCTATTCTTCATAATTGGCAAAATTTGGAATAATCTTTAATCTTATAAACCACACAAAGCCTGCAAAAAAATCTCCCATTAGTTACAATGTATTTAATATACACAATGCATTCCCACTCTAATGGAGAACCAAGCGAAAGTAATGAAGTCCGATACATGTTCAAGTTTGATGCTGAAGAGAATCAAAATTGATTAATTCTTCTCAACCTAGTATATTTTGGACTATGATACAGTTTTAATTATCCTTTCATTAGCATGCAACCAACATTTTGGGAACATGTATGGGATTTCAAAAGACATATCAAACGAAGAAAAGCAGGAAAAAGAGATTTAAGAAAGTAAGGTTGACACAAAATGGCAGAAAAGTACATTCCAGGGATTGGTCCCACCACAAAAGTAATCACTGAGCTAGAAAGAGTAAATAAACTACTTCAAAACACTGAAACCTAATTGGATACTTACAACAAAGGAAGTGTTTGTTGAAGGGAGACACTGCTGTTCTCTGGTAAGAGAACAACATGCACAAAACAGGTATCAAACCCCATTCCTCAGCACCACTGTGAAGATAATGCCTGAGTCCCTGAGGTGCTGGCTAATGCCAGGGTGGGCAGTGGGACTCATGTTATTTGAAATTTGAGGATGTGCATTTTGGTTGGTTTGGCAGTTTCCTGAAGGGCCAGTACAGGTGCTTGCCTTGGTTTCAACCCTCTTAGGTTGCAGTAGCTTCCCAAGATGGCATCTATCAGAAGACTTAAATAGACAGAAACACCTCCCCTGCTTTTTGGAACCAGACATTTAAGGAAACCTTTGTCAGATTACTGGCTGACAGCAGAGATAATAAAACCCTAAATCCAGTAACCATATACAAGGAATATACAGCTTGCAACAATTGTTGGGAAAAATTACAAACAAATAGCTACAGCTCTCAGCAAACAAAAATCAGTAGTCAGTGAGGAGTAGAAAAATCCAAATTCCAGAGTTAAAATAGACTCAATGTCCAGTTCTCAAAAACAACAAAAAGTCATAAGGCCTGCAAAAAAAAACAAAAACAAAAACAAAAAAACCCAAACAAACAAAAAAACAGGAAGGCATAAGCTACACAGGAAAAAAAAAAGAATATGACAGAAACTATCCCTGAATAAACTCAGATATTGGAATTAGTCAAAAACACTCAAATCAACTATCTTAAATATGTTCAATGAGCTAAAGGAAACTATGAACAAATACATCAGCTCTGAGCAGGACCTGAAAGAAGTCCACACTGAGACACATTGAATCAAATTGCCAAGAAAGGGAGTGATTTTAAAACAGCAAGAGGGAAGTGAATTGTCATATTTAAGGGATCCACAATAAGACTGATGTCTGATTTCTCCAATGTAAGCAAAAAGGTAGTGGGATAACATATTTAAAGTCCTGAAATTAAAAAAAAAAAAATAACAAACTCTGAACCAAGAATTCTGTATCCAGCAAGACTATCCTCCTTTAAACAATGATGGAGAAAGTAGATATTCCCAAATTAACAACAACAACAAATATAATTTATTGCTAGCAAACCTGTTCTGTAAGAAATACTAAGAGGTCCTATAGACAGAAATAAAAGGACACTAAACAGTAACTCAAAGACATAAGAAATAATGAACAATTATAAAGGGAATTACATAAATATAAAACCTGATGTTACTGTACTTTTGGTTTATAACATTTTTCTATGATTTACAAGGCAAATGAGTAACACAATAATTAAAAATCTATGTTAATGATCATACAATGTGCAATGATGCAATCTGTGACAAAAACAATATAAAAGGAACAAGTATGTATAGGAAGAGTGCACATTATGAAAACTAAGTTTGTACTATTAAAAATGGGTTGTTATAAGTTTAAGATATTAATTATAATCCCTAACGAAACTAATAAGAAAATAACTGAAAACACAGAAATAAATATGGGAATCAAAATAGTAAGTTACCAAAAACAAATTAAGTATAAAAATGGTAATAGAGAAATTAAGGAACAAAAACATGTAAGAGATACAGAAAACAGCTAACTGGAAGAATTAAGCCCTTCTTTAGGAATAATTACTTTAAATGTATATAAATTAAATTCTCCAATTAAAAGAAAGAGCTTGGAAGATTGGATTTAAAAACAAACATATTTATCTATACACAGTCTACATGAGACTCAGCTTTAGATAAAAAGATACAAAGAGGTTGAAAGCAAAAGAATGGAAAAACATATTCCATGTAAACAGTAACCACATATACACACACACACACACACACAGAAACAAACTGTGGTGGCTATATTATTGTCAGACAAAATAAACTTGAAATAAAAAAAGTAACAAGAGACAAAGAAGGATATTCTATATTGATAAAATTTTCAATGCCATCAGGAAGATATAGTTATAAGCAAATGCCCAACTAAAAGCAGAGCTCAAAAATATATTAAATAAAAATTAACAGAACTGAAGAGAGGAAAAGGCAGTTCTAAAATAATAGGTGGAAGGGCCCATGGCTGGCTCAGTCAGAAGGGCATGTGACTCTTGATCTTGGGGTTGTGAGTTCAAGTCCTATGTGGGGTGTAGAGATTACTTAAACAAATAAACTTAAAAAATAAATAAAATAATAGGTGGTGTATTTTTTTAAGATTTTATTTATTTACCTTCAAGAGAGACAGAGAAAGGGAGAGGCATAGCAGAGGGAGAGGGACAAGCAGACTCTGCGCTGAGTGTAGAGCCTGATGCAGGGCTTGATCCCACAACCCCGAGAGATCATGTCCTGAGCCGAAACAAACAGTTGGACACCTAACCATCTGAGCCACCCAGGCGCCCCAATAGGTGGAGTATTTAATACTCCACTTTCAATAATGGATAGAATAAGAAGACAGAAGAATAACAAGAAAATAGAGAATTTGAACATCACTATAATCTGATTACCCCTAATAAATTTATACAAAACAGTCTTTCTAACAACAGCAGAATGTACATTCTTAAGTGCACATGGAACATTCTCCAAGATATATCACATATCAGACCAAAAAACAAGTCCTAATAAATTTTAACTGACTGAAATCATGCAAAATATCATTTGTGATCACAATGGAAATGTCACTAGAAATAAATAACAAAGGAAAAGGAGAAAATTCACAAATATGCAGAAATAACACACTCTTTAAAAAGCAATGAGTCATAGAAGAAATTACAGAGGAAATTAGAAAATACCTTGATATGAATGAAAATGAAAACACAACATGCTAAAACTTATGGAATTCAGCAAAAGCAGAGCTAAGAGGAAAATTAAAGCAATAAACATCTACATTAAAAAAGAAGAAAGGTTTCAAATCAATAACCTAATTGTATTATACCTTAAAGAACTAGAGGAAAATCATACTTAAACCAAAGCAAGAAGGAAATCTACAAATTAGAACAGAGGTAAAATGTAATTAATTAATTAGAGAACTGGAAAACCAATAGAGTGAAAACAATGATACTGAAAGTTGATTCCAAAATTGACAAATCTTTAGCTAGACTGACTAACAACAACAAAAAGAAGACTCTAATAACTAAAATCAGAAATGATAGTTGGGACATTATTACTGATTTTATAGAAATTAAAAAAGATTATAAGAGGATACTATGAACAACTGTACACTAGCAAATGGGATAACTTAGAAGAAATTGACAAATTCCTAGAAACACACAAACTACAAAAACTGAGTCCAGGGGAGAAAAAAAAGAAAATCTGAGTAGACCTATAGCAAGTAAGGAGATTGTGTGAGTAACCAAAAACCTAGTAACAAAGAAAAGCCCAGGACCTGAGAGATTCACTGATGAATTCCATCAAATATTTAAATAAGAATTAACACCATTCCTTTTCAAACTCTTCCAAAAAAATTAAGAGAAGGGAACACTTCCTAACTCATTCTATGAAGCCATCATTACCTTGATATCAAAACTGGTCTAAGATACAAGAGGACTACTACCTCAGGCCAATATCCCTTAATAAACACAAGTACACATTAAAAGATACAGTAGGCAACATATAGCTAAGTCCCATGGGAAATTACTGTATCATGTTCTGTACAACTGTACAAGTTATCTTTTGTTCTCTCTGCTTATATTTTCCCTCCTTCCAGTTAATTTTGCATTTCCATTAAACTCTAGGCCTGCAATGGCATCCATTGTGTAACTGATGAAACTAAATTTAAAATATCACGCCCTTTCACTTAAAAGAAATATGAATACTGATATAACAACATGTACATATAACCAAATGAAATTAAGAACATCCATTATTTTGCCTCATTAATATAATTTTCTTTTATAAAATGAAAAGGTAAGTAAATACCAGTATATTATTTCCATTTCTCCAGAACAATTTTCAATACATGTAAATTACTC